ACTGGCAATAGAGCCATAACACATTATTTAGATGATTGTTTGATCGCTGGGAATCCCATTTCTTCCCAATGTAGGGATTCCTTAGCCCAATTTCAGAAATTAATGTATGAGTAAGGTGTACCCTTAGTGGAGGAAAAGACTGAGGGGCCAGATACTCAACTTACCTTTTTGGGTATTGAGATTGATCCATAGATGGGATTTCATGCTTACCAAATGATAAATTGATGACTGTGAGGCAGCAGGTTAGTGCTATGTTGGGGAAACAAAAAGCTACACTTCTTGAATTTCAGTCCCTTACAGGACTCTTGAACTTCGCCTGTAGGGTTGTAGTGCCAGGATGTGCATTTTGTGTTAGATTATACAGGGCTACTTCAGGTATCTTGGCACAGCACCATCACATCACAAGGGGCATTCATGAGGATTAGAAGGTTTGGGACACCTTATTGGATCAATTTAATGGCACATTGTTTTGGAGATCTGAAATGCTGCTGAGGGCAGATTTTCAGGTGCATTCTGATGCTGCTGGCGCTCATGGTTTTGGGGTTTATTGGAATGGCCTATGGGCTGCAGAGGCGTGGCCTTCTGCATGGGTTGAAAGTGGTCTAACCAGAGACTTAATGTTTCTTAAGCTTTTTCCCATAGTGGTGGCTGTCCACCTGTGGGCAAGCCAGTTTGCTAACAGGACCATCTGGTTTTGGTGTGACAACCAGTCGGTGGTTCATGTGGTGAATTCTCAGTCCTCTAAGTCTCCTAGAGTTATGGGTTTAGTAAGGGCGATGGTCATGCAATGCTTGAATTATAATATGTTATTCAAAGCTCAACATGTTCCTGGTGTACTTAACCCTTTGGCGGACACCCTTTCTCATTTTCAGCTTTCCAGGTTCCGGCAGCCAGCTCCCGAGGCATCGACACACCCGTTGGAGGTACCGGCCTTGCTATGGAGCCTTGGAGATTAGAAATTCACAGGGCAATCTTGAATTCCATTGTCCCATCTACACGCAAGTCCTATCAAACTGCTTTAAATTCGTTTAATCAATTTTTATTGGAAATTGGGGTGGATCAAAGTTGGTCGATCAGGGTTGACTTGATCCTACATTTTATAGTTTATCTTAGACAGGCAGGCCTTTCGCCTG